CGTTTATGAGAATATGCCACACACAAATTTAATAACAATTTCTGATATAAAGAATTGTTATGAAAACAATACAGATTTATCAGCAAAAGATAAATTAAAAACCAAATTAAATGGTCTTATAAATGAAGGTGAATGGGAATTTACTGATATAGTGGAACATGATTATTCTTTGGCTCCAATTGTGGACTGCTTAAAGTATTATATTGCTGGTTATTTAACTCACCAAATAACTAAAAGAAGTTCTTGTCAAAAATGTAAAACTAGTATTATGAGTAATGAATGTTTCACATCCGAGGCTGATTTGACAAATATAAAATCCAGAGGATGGCTAAAACATCCAAATAAATATTTGTATGAATTATTGAGTGTGGTTGAAGATGAATTGATGAACCATTTAGGTAAAACAAGTGTTTATGAAGACACGGTAGAAGCCTTGATAACCAAGTGTGAGACGTTCACATTTCCATGTGGGGAACATAAAGATTTTATTATAGCGTCCATAATAAAATATTATATAAATATGAGAATGCGTCAATGGACTAGGCAAACAAACCAGGAACAGCTAAAAGAAAACGCAAAAAAGAAAAAACTATCAAAATTTTGTAAATCATAATAATTTCATTAAGTTTCACAAAACATTCGTACATTATATCTATTATTAAAGATATAATTATTATTACACTTACCAATACTAAGTATTCAAAATGTTTAACAAAATGTATTATGTAAGTCATTGTGTTCATTATTATTATTTATTATTATTATATATAAAATAAAAAACTCAAAAGTTGTTTGTTGTTATAGAATTTGCTACTTTAGTCCACGTTCTATAATCATACAAAGGCTGAAAGGCCTAATTTTAAGAAAAAAAAAGAATGCCCATAAGTAAAGTTGTATTATTTAATATTTATCATAACATGAGATATCATTGACATTAAACTTATAGATCACCATACGTCGTTGATAGATGGCAGTAATAGTATTTATGAGTTCCCTGTCCCGTCAATAAGAGCACGGATTATTATAATATGGTAATCTCATCGAGTTGCATAGGGCTGAGTAAACAGATGATATTGTATGATAATAATAAATGATAATAGAATTATTACTATCACGGCTATAGATAATATGGTTGCTGAACGGCCTATACTAAACAACGCATTACACCGAGCTGGAATGTTATTGAAAAGTCACGTGACTAAAATTACGAGGCTGTCGCGCCATTCTACGGTATTTGATAGAACTAATAATTATTGTACCACGTCTATATTATGCAGAATTGCAAACCACGGCCATGGCTATATAATAATATATTAAAATGCATTCTATATATGACATACTATATTATAATTTAAGTATATATCCAGTGGCGTACACAGGGGGGGCTAAAACGGGCTAAAACCCCCCCATTGCCGTATAATTATTACTTTAAAAAAATATATTATGAAGTTTTTAACTACAAATTAACTGTGGTTTTGTCAAAATTTCCTCACCTAAACGTCTTAAATTATTAGAATGGACAAAATAAAAATAAAATTGTAATTAATTGTCAACCCCCCCCCTAATCCCTATTGAAAAATAGCCACTGTATATATCCATTGAATAAATATGATAAAACTATTAAAGTATTTTTATTTTTGTTGTACACAGTTTGCTTTCCCGCGTAAATTGACGTGTTCAACACGAATTGAAACATTATTATTTTGATTTAGAATTTATTTCCTGTGCTCTGCGTCAAAATAACCAAGTTTAATAAAAAAATTTCAGTATGGTTAATTGTTGTGTGAAATATCCACAAGAAGCTTCAAAAACAACTTTTGGGGTCCCTAAAAGCATAGAGGAAAGAAATAAATGGGAAAATGCATTAAAAACTGTACTTAAAAAAAGTTACAGAGTTTGTGCTTCACACTTTAAGAAAAGCGATATTAAGTCTACTTGGGAATCCGGCGAAGGCGAAAATAAATACAGAGTAAGAATATATTATTATTTATTTAATTGTACCTTAATTATAATTTATAACCATTTTTAAATAAATGATAAATTGTGATTTAGATATGTCTTAAAGTTCCTAAACTTTTGGATGGAGCAGTTCCATCAGTATTTGAGAAGGATGAAAACTACCAAATTCAAACCAAAAGAAGAAAGGTAAATAAAGTATTAGATAATTTGATAATATTAAGTACCTATTAAGTTTCAATATTGATTTATTTTAAAATATATTACCTATACCTTTAAATAATAATATTTAATTTAAAAATTAACAGACTAAAAATAGACTTATATACAAATGTATTGAGGAATAAGTGCTTGATTAATTTGCCTAATCATTGGTTTGTTGATATTATGGAAGTATACGATAATAAAACTGAGATGGTAGTATCAATTCATAAACTTAGCCCATTGCAATTACATTTTACAGGGATAATTGAAAAAAGAATAGTTATAACTAAAGGTTATATAAATTAATACTATACTTATTTATATTTTATTGTATTTGAGATACTTAATAACTAGTTATAAATTTAATTAGATTCAAATATATTACTACATCTTAATGGAAAAGAATTCAAATTATCAGAAATAGGCCTGGACAATTCATATATTAAGAATATTAAGGATATAGATAATTTACTAAATATCCTTGAAAAAATAAAATGTTGTTATGGAGCTGTTTCCTCGATTAAAGTTAGTGATATTAAGTCTTCATTTTGTTCCCAATACATTGAGGTCAATGGTCGGTGGAAGCATAAGAACTGTTTAACAATTCTCAAGGATAATGAGTAATGTTTTGCTAATACAAATGTGCATTAACATAATATAACAATTTGTTTATTTATTCCAGAAAATTATGCTTATGGTGTAAAAGACTAACTTTTTCTATAAATAATAAACTTACCAAACACACCAAAGGATTATTTACAAAACCATTTTTTTCTCCAAATAAAAAAAAAGTACTTTCAAAAATAAAATCGATTAAGAAAAATATGCAGCAAAGATGTTCTAGAGCTCGTAAAACAATTTTGCGTCTACAAATTGAATTAAATAAAATAAAAGATGAAATGAACTCTTTTTGTGAAAAAACACTTGATGAGTTATTAGAAAACTTGATGATACCAAAAGGCCAATGTGAATTGATTAAAGAGAAATTTTTGGCGGCTAAAGTTAAAAATTCTAAAAACAGATGTTATAGTGAAAATTGGACACTTTTATGTTTGTTGTTTCAGATACGGTAAGGTTAGAATATATTAGTTTTTTTATATAATAACTTCACAATTAACAAAATTATATTTTTTAATGTTTCATTATAGCTCACCAAGTGGCTATAAATATCTTAGAGAGCAAAAAATATTACCACTACCTTGTACACAACTCTACGTAATTATTTGTTGGCCATTAAGATAGGTTGTGGATTTGACCCAGATTTTTTTAAATTATTAAAGAAAAAGTTTGCAAATAAAACAGAGTTCCAAAGGAAAATGATTCTTGTATTTGATGAAATTTTCCTAAGAGAGAGTATTTCAGTCAATACAAGAACACTGACCTACATTGGCTTGGAAGACTTTGGAGAAGGATTTGAAACCAGAGCAACCGAAAAAGCTAATCATGCACTGGATTTGATGGTGCAAAGTTTAGCAGATAATATTCAACAGCCTATTGCAGTATTTGCTTCCAAGGGACCTGTGAAAGGTAATTTTAAGCTGTAATTATACAAGAAAATGTATATTATAGTAATATTTGTTACAGGAATTGATTTAGCTAAAATTATATTAAAAGCCATTTTGTTATTGGAAAATTCTGGTATTCAAGTGATTGGCATCACTAGCGATGGGGCCTCTACAAATCGTACAATGTGGAGTGCACTAGGTATAAGTGCCAAACAGAAAACTTTCAAAAATTCATTTGAAAATCCGTTTGATGGCAACCGAAAAGTTTTTGTTTTTTCTGATGCTCCACACTTGATAAAAACTGTTAGAAACAGATTATACACAAAAAAATCATTACAAGTAAATCAATTAGTTTATATCAAATTTCAATAAGTATAAAAACATAAGCTTGTGTATATTTATAACTATATTATTTTCTTTTTTAGATTCATCCCAACAAATCTTTAATTAAATGGAGTACATATGAAAATGTATTTTTTCATGATTCAAAAAGTTTAACTAAAGTTTGCCCTAAAATTACAACAAACCATTTAGAACTAAATAATTTGTCAAAGATGAAAGTAAAATATGCTTCACAGGTATATTTTTTAATGTTTAAACGTTAGGTACACATATTAAAATTATTACTTTTTTTTAGATATTTAGTTCATCAATGGCTGTTGGAATTCAATTTTACCAGAGTAAAAACTATGAGGGTTTTGAAGACTGTGATGAGACCATCAAATTTACTCTGATGATGAATAGTTTATTCGATGCTTTAAATAGAAAATTTCCTGGGGAAGGAATTAAAAAAAATAGTTCTGATTTAGAGGTTTTGTGGCATATATGTAGGATTTTTAGGTTGCATGTCAATGGTTACAATAAATGTTTGTGTTTGAAAAACTAAAAACAGGGGAGTATCATTAAAATGTATTTATTCAACTCAATATTAATTGTATCAGAACTTTATGCATGTATTTTCTTATTCTAACTTAATTTTATGTTTTAGATACTATTAATAGTAATCCATAACTAATAATTAGAACTATATTATATTATGTAACTAATACTTGTATAATTTGTTTAGATGATTATTGTGTACATCATACTTCAATACTTGGAGGCAGTATCTTTAAAATATTTTGAACTATTTTTCATACGTCATAATAGATACGAGTGTATGACTATTAATTTGTATTTGTTTAGGTATTGAAAAATGCATTGGTTTGGTTGGACAGTTGGGAATCAAATGTTACTAATAATCCAGAAGACAAGTTTTTAACTAAAAACACAGCAGAAGGGCTTAGAATGACTATACAATCTTCAATTGACATAATTAACTATTTACACTCATGTGGTTTTGATTATGTACTAACATCTAAAACTAACCAGGATGGTGTTGAAGTAAGTATTTTACACATTAATTACATAACTTAACCTACTTGAAATAAATAAAAATTATATAATTTTTTTTTTAAATTTTCAGAAATTTTTTGGAATAATAAGGCAAGTGGTAGGACCAAACGACCATCCTTCAACACCCACATTCTTGCAATTATACAGAATGTTATCTGTTTATTCTCTGGTAAAACCTCCAAAAACAGGGAATTGTACTATCTTAGAAGGTATTTATGGATTTTCATTAAAAAGTTAATAATATTTAGAAATTTTATTAACAAGAAGTACAAACAATATACTTTTAGATAATATCCCTGTTATTTCTATTGGGGATTTGAAAAATATTACAGAAGAACAAAATGAAACATCCATAAGAAAAGATAAAATAAGCTAAAACAAAAAATTGATTCTATTGTTAAAGATGGGCATTATGATTTTGATGATGTTTTTAGAGATCATAATTATTGCAATACAAATTCCACAGTATTTGAATGTTTAGTGTACTTTTTGACAGGGTGAATACAACAGTTTATATTTGTGTAGTAATTTAAGCGGATTGAACACATTTTAA